ATTGGTGTGTTAAAAATAGCACGGCAAGCTTTGGAAAAATCTGTTGGGTTTGCTAGTCTAGGCATTTATACCACAGTTGCTGTTGCTCTAATTAAAAAGAAAAGCTCACATGACAGAAACGATTCCTATGCGCTGACGTTTCAGTGCAATAACTACAGCATCAAAACACAGTCTTAGCTTTGTTCTGCTTGTCGTGGACCTCACCCAAGAGGAACAATGGCTGTGGACGGATCAGTGTCCTGCTCCACAGGTCAGTACAGTAGATACTCAGAAAGGTGGAACTCAATATATTTTTTTGAGAGAAAAAAAGGTCATTTCTCTGTTTGGCATCCAGAATGACTCAGTCAACCAGCAAAATGGCTCCAAAATTCTTTACTTGCTTTCTGAAGAGGAAGAAATTACCACCCTGAGTGATTTCCTTGAATGCTTGACAAAGGCATCAGTCCTTTTCTTTTTTCCAGTTAGTTCAGGCTCCGTACCCATCTGACTTTCCATCCTTGTCACAAATGTGATGCTGATTAAGACACTGGAAACAGAAATCCTCTTGAATTAAGCATTTTTCTCAGAGGAACTCCTTACAACTCTGCAAGCAAAGCCACTACCTGTGACATTTGAAAACGAGAGCCATGAAGCCACCCATCTGGGAATATGGCCACTGGCTGGTTTGGCTCTGCTGCCATTTAAATCTCAAAGGTCAAAAGAAAATGTTGCCCAGCAGTTTCTTCATGGAAAAAATTTGGGCATGCACTGGGGAACATTTTCTTGCTGGTGGATTTTTAATTCAAAACAGACTCAGATGAAGGAAAGTAAGACTCCAGACTGGGCTTAAGTCTGACAGAGCAAATCTCGGTTCTCTGCTGGCAGGTTGGGGAGTCTGGGTGCTCGACCCCATCTCGTGGCACTCCACAAGAAACCCCCGTCCACGGTGGCACTGCAAGACCACCTTGTCCAATACGGAATGCAGCCTCCCCTCAGCCTCCCCCATCTCCTCATCTCCTCCTTTGGCAGCGGACCAAGCTGTGGCAGGGGTGGGACATGGACATGACCCATGAGTGTGCTAAGCCCCAGGCACACGTACTGAGCACGCAGGGAGGTGTGTGTCCAGGAAAGCAAGTAATGAACTGCACGATGCTGCTGGGCAAGAGGACCCTTTAAAAATCAATAAACCAAGCAGTGCTGGATTCCCCAAGGCGTGCATCCCCTTTACACAGACGCTGGACAGGAAGCGCATTACGCTATAACTTGATTTTTCAACCAGCTCCAAGAAGAAATGGCTTCTTTGAAGGCGGTTTGCGCAGAGCCCCG